CCAACGACATAGGTATTCTAACCCTAGCAATACCGTTTCTTGGAGCTAATTTCACATATGAACCAGTACAGTGACCTGAAAACCATTACATGATAAGAAACGTGCTGCACGTGTGAATAAGTGTTTAAACAGTCTATAAGATGACAATCTATTTTTAGCCATAATATTATTTATGTCTAAATAAGTATGGAATAATGTTCAGGGGCTGAAATTAGGGCAAGTCCGAGGTCCGGGATGTGCCGATTTCATGCTCGGACCTTCGAAATTTCCAAGCATAAAGTCCATCAGACTTATTAATAATTTACAGTGCACTGTACTCCACTTTCATCAAATAAAACATCATTAAACCATTGCAGATAGCGAAGAAATAAAGCGACAGTAGATCGATTTTTGGTCACTGTCGACATCTAGTGTCATCTCTTACATAAAGGGCGAGTCTGTTTTTCGTCTGTCTTTCTATCTTCTCCCACCCCGTAAGAGGGCACCCCCAACATGATATATATTCTGAATCAGCATGACGCGACGACCATTTTAGGCCAAAAAAAATAAACAAAATGAAAAAACTACAAAAATCTCAAATTAAAATTAAAATTATTTTTCATTTTCATAAATGTCAGCGCGGTGGCGCTATATATACCCTCCTACTCATGGGTAATGCTATCCCCCGGGCGTGGAGGGACACCGCAACGTGGCAGCACTAGTATTAGGATTAATGTTATTAGTATTAGTATTAGTATTAGGTTAGGGGTTAGTATTAGGTTAGGATTAGGGTTAGGGTTAGGGTTGACGTTAGGGTTAGGGTTAGGGTTATAGTTTTTGCATCATGATATCTGTCCCCACACCATAGATTTTTGTGGATCACACCCCCTATATATAGCGCTCCGATATATATATATATTTAGTGTTAGGTGTACCGTTGGAGGTGTTGAAGTTACCGTTACCGGATGATTAATAATTTTTAAGTATACGTCAACTGTATCACGTGACCGTCCCTCCACGCCCGGGGGATAGCAACACCCCCTACTCATTCACTGCGGCCATTCACTGCTCATCCATGGAGTGCATGGTGTTTGATGTTGCTTTGTAGCTCTATTGTCGAACTATTAAAACAAATTATGAGCTTCGAAGGAGAGACAAAAGCATCGTACACGACTACTGCTG